ACTGTATAGTATTTAAAATAATAAAACGATGAATTATTTCAATCAGAATAAAAAGTTATCCAAGCCTGTTATTGAGAATATGAATACATACGACTGTTATGAAAACTATTTAATAAACAGATCATAATCCATCCACATAGAAGACTGCGAATGTTTACCCAATTTTCCATTTCCACAAAAGTCTTTACAAAGGTCTTGACAAGAGTAACGAAGAGTTCATCGTAGTTCCTAAAGGTATCACTAACCCTTTCCAAGCTGAATTATTATTTTCAAACCATAAAAAGTATTTTTTTGTATACGGTTATATCTTGGATGTCAGAAAACAGAAAAATTAAGAAAATTAAAGAATTGTTCATAACCAAAAACGAACAATCATTGAACAACTCGTAAATAGTATTTTTAAGAATGTATCCATCTAACGGCAAAAAACTACACGACACGTTGTCATACTGAATCTCCAGGCCCGTAATATGTGCCATAAATGCTAAGTAAGTTGACGAGTCCAAGTGGAATTCTACGGTCGGAAAGGTTTAAATAAGAATCGAAATAGAAGTATTAAAGTGCATTGTCTTATTGTATTCAACAGAGCCATCCACGCCATGAATGCATAAACATCCGTGGCCCACAAATCAGTCACTTCGTCCATAAGTCGGAAACAATCATACTGTCGCCGAGTCACTCCTCGTCGGATGCGAAGAATTTCCCCCGTATCTTCACGTGTTCCACCGCTGTCGCAAGGGGGCACGGCCCTTTCCCGGAACGGCTAATAAATTCAACAGCCGCGAACAATATGGATGCGGAAGTGCATAAATTCGCAAGGAGCAAGCACGCGAGGGGACGACGTCGATTCCACCACTGTCGAGACCGCAATAAGAGGTCTCACTCTACGAGAGACGCAATACATGTAACGTTGCGGGGGCAATAGGTTGTGCGCCATGGGGTCTTGAATAACTTTCCGTGGAAGCGCGCAGGTGCAGAATGGGGGTGAACGGGAAAGGAGGGAAAAGAAGGTCGTAAGACACGCGTAACGGTACCTAGAGTAGGCAATATCCGCTTGCTTGTAAGCTGCTGCGTCTCCCGCTGCGTCATCGCATTGTCATCGAACTATGACGAATTTCTTCGCTGGGAGCCGTTCGAAGACGAAGACGAGCTTCGTCGATACGCCGCGGCGCGTCCCTGTCATTCGAGCTGGCGTACCCCCTCCCCCAAGCTGTTCCATCGCTCCGCTGGTGGTGCTGCTCTTCCCGCGATTTCTCATTCTGAACGGTACCTTTACTTATTAGAGTTTGACTCCTAAGCCCGTTAGCCTTTAATTAAGGGATCCACGGAGCCGCGCCGCTCCGCCACGTCAGCAAACATACTTGAAATTATGGCCCATTATCGGAATTGCCGGCCGAATCTCCGCACGATCTACGGCTTAATTGGTCGACAAAAGGAAGGGCCCCGGCCAGATAAGAGACAGAACCCGCGGCGAACCCGTGTGAATGGGCGGCGTAATGGCCGCTGGCTTACGTACAGGTATTTCAAGCATCCGTGTTTTAGTTAACAGGGGTTTTGCGGTTTGACGGTTTAGTTGTTGCGTCCCGATCGTTTTCACTCCACATATATGAAGTTAATTTACAGAAAATTGAAACACTGATAGAGAGACAACTGGGATTAATTAAACCAGTGACATCTGAAAGCAGTGGGTACATCGAATAATCGCGCAGTTAACTTCAAGACACTATTGGTGAGTTTGTGGAACACACAATTTGAATTTTTTAAACTGTCCAGGTTACAGAAAATGTATTAAAAAAGTTTTAATAGTTAATTTACACTTTTATATTTGTGTCATTTACGTGCTGTTACTAGAAATTTACCAAGTATCCAAATACTCTTAAGCGGTAGTGCATATATGTGGCCACGATTTGTTTTTCATTGGTATAGTTGTTGGTAGAAGGTCGAATAATACCTAATGTTACTTAATCAGGAATAAAGAAAAATTACTGCTTTTTACTACGAGTCTCATATAAATTATCTTTTAGAATACTTTTCTTGCTTTTAGTGCTGATACTAACGGACATTGACTGCCCTCTAGTTGTGCATTCCTTGAAAAATGCACACTTTTTACTGTTGGTCTCGTAATTCAGGAGCACTTGTACAGAAAAAGTGTTGAAATAGACTAACTGTTGCATTCATCGGATTAAATAGGGAAACTTTTTCATCTTATAACCTAACAACGCCTTATATGTTTTGCTATGTTGAAGGTTATCGAACATTGCTGTTCGAATGTAGCGATCGTACATCTGTTGCGGAACGAGAAAAAAGTATCAGATCGCTAGACTGAGATTCGAAGTCGGAGCTTATGCTTACCAGCCGACGGTTTTAATAAATTACAGGAACTAGGTCGTCGACGAGTTCGTTTTTTTTTGCTCTAGCGTTCAAATTCGTGATCTACATTTCACCTTGGTGGAAAGAGGTTATAGAAGATAAACTGATCGCAGAAATTGTGTTACTATTTAACGAACGGTGGTTATCTTTATCACAGAATATATTTCCGGTTCGAATACCGTGAAGTATACATGGTAGAGTTTACTTGTGGTACAATTGGGTGGGTGAATGTTCCTGCGTGATAAAACAAATAGAAAATGTAGCTTACAATTTTTGCAAAGAGGGCTTCTTCTTCGAGAAAAATAACTGTGAAAAGTGATGGCGTGTATGTGTTGAATAGGACTCGAGTTGATGTGTGTTTTTTCATTACTTGCAGTTTTTACTTATGGTAAACACGATGCATGTGTATAAAAAAATATATTCCGTATTTTTGACTTGCAGTACATCCTCGATGAGTGCTCAAAGGCTCCTCGGCAGTAAACATGAAATATTTCATAAACTAATGGCCATATGTGGTTGAAACAATTACCATTGGCTTCAGAATTCTAAGCTTTATCACTATGCTAAACCCCATTAAAAAGTCAGCGTCGCATCTGGGGATCTCTCCTTGTCAATGCCGAGGAGCCTTCGAACACTCATCGAGGATTTACTGTAATTCTTAACCATAAGACCAGTTTTGGTCCAGTTTATTATGAATACAGTTAATTTTCCAATTTTAATCTTTATTTTCATTATATTTCTTTTTACAAATACAAGGTATCCACTACTTTGTCAGAAAGTAAAATAACCTCAGCCAGTTATCATTCAATTATTAGTTTTCTGATTATGAAATCTGTTTTTACACTTTGGACTTTATGCCATGGTATAAAATGTTATGTCGCACCATATTAATGGACAATAAATATTTAATAATGCGTGCATTGAATTAGTAAATGGAAACTTTGGTGTCATAAACGAGAAATCAAATTTTAGTGTTAGACATGAGCAGATGTTTATTTCTTATCGAAGGATTCTCATCGAATAATTCCTAGTTTTGCATATATTTGAATTTAATGAACCGAAGGGAAATAAACCAAACCTTGGAAGAGATAAAATATTATTACGTTATTCGAACGAAGCTTCGGAAAAGTTACGACTCGCAAATGATAATTCGTATGCGGTAGTTTTACCCGTGAAACAGTAATTTATATTCAATCCAAATGTACACCATCAGAATTAATGGTTTTCTCCTAACGAAGTACTGAAATATCATATTTCTTCAAGAAAGCACGAGTGCTTTTTAAAAGCACTTGGATGCCAGAAGAGTTTCAGTGTCTTACGAAAAGCACAGTGATGATAGTTGATGTAGTAGGATTACATAATTCAGTTCAGCTAAGTTTATGACAACCCAATTTAAATTCAAACGAAACATGTATTCATAATTCTTTCTTCGATACCATACTAGGGGAAACCTGGTCGAATAATTAACAAAAAAATTGATTAACGCTCAGAAATTACACCCCATTTCAGTGTACGTAAATACCACAATAGTACAAATTGACATTTTGAATTTTTGACGATTTACACGTTAACGCTATGGCGGTCTCTGGGAACCGACACTAAGAAAATTATACTTTATAGTAATCCATATAATATTGAAAAATATGTTTACACCTTTTTAATGGATTTTATGGAAACATTTTGAACAATAATAGGGTTACCCTTTACGTGTATTATAAAAAGTTACGACTTTCTTAGTCAAATTTCTGGCTATATGTATTTTCCTAAATGGACGGTAGGTACAGCAAAATTGGTTCCGCGTTTAACACTTTGACTGCCACGTCACCCAAATATGGGTGACACGTACATTGCAAATAATCTGGATTATTTAAATATTGTTATAAAATTTGTGCGTAAAATTAAGATCGCAGTATAATTTAAAACATGACCAACAGCCTCTATTAACTATACGCATATATTTTCGACAATTTATGACTTAAAAAACGAGATAAGTTGTGTCTGACTACGTACGGCCATTTTCACTGTGACAGTCAATGTGTTAACGTGTTAAAAACTTGAAGAGAATAAAAGTAATTTAAACTCCTAACATTGGAACTTTCGGATAAAATTTCAGACATTCAAGATCAATAATGGCAAACGTGAGAAAATCTTTTTAACTATGAAAAACAAATTTACACCAGTGTGGTGTCTGGGGGCTAATCAAAAGAATTTAGAATCACACAGCACTATTACATATACTAATTAGCTTAAACAGACATCGTCCATTACATTAACATTTCTAATCTCGGTTCACCAACGACCATTTGAATATCAGCAATATCATGTAATACAACCATTTCGATTAAGAACCTGATATTTCTTTTCAGTTCGCGCAAACTCGGTGACCAGGAAAGCTTTAACTACTTTCATCCGGCCCGCGTGCGATACCTATTTGCTGGAATTGTAATTAACATTTCTATATAGACGTTTCTCATGCAGGCTTTATATAGGCTAACCGTTAGGCCAATATTGAATTACATTTTCCATGTGGGTCTATCCTCGTGCTTGTATTGTTCTTTCTCTTTCTCTCTATCTCTGTTTGCCTACATTAAGCGAGGTGTGTGTACGTTCGGTAACTGTCGTTCACTCACCATATAGATCATCATACGTAGCAACCTCCACACCCCTGGCATCCTGGAGGTCCCAGCCTCTCACGATGAGATACGCTTCCCTGTAAAAAAAAGAAGACAAACGTTCGTCGTTATGGTATCCGCCACAATTTTCTAATCGTACAGGATCGGTCAAGCTTCACCGTAAGAAAGACAAACGTTCGTCGTTAAGGTGTCCGCCTTAATTCTCTAATCGTATGCAAGCCAGTCGGGTCTGGTCTGGGTAGGAACTCGCAGCCGGATCTATTTTAATTTATCCGACCAGCATGGTCTAGCGAGCAAATTAACTGAACACCGTCCGCCAGGTCGCGGTTCGAATCCCAAGGAGGTCTCACAGCGCAAAATTGATTTGCTGAGAGAAATCATGGTTATGGGGTTTCGAGTGTACGTGTACCCGATCTATCCTCCGGTATCAGGATACACGACAGTCGCCATCGGGCGCGGTTAAATACACTGATCGATCGAATTCCGAGACTTTTGTAACTGATAAAAAAAGTTTTAGATACTTACGAAAGTTTTCGCACGTTTCAATCGAAAAATAAGTCACAATGTTTTGTGATTTGAATAATTTCTAAGTCAGATATTTGGACGTTCATGAATAATTAATTAGTTTTGGACTCTTCAAAGATAAAAAGAGGGTCCTGGGTTTTAAAGCCAATTAATACTGTAATAATAACAGTGACTGCGAATAAAAAGTGTAATATTTAAAGCTTTCATAAGTTTATGAAATAATTTAATAGATTGCTTATTAATAAAAGTGACTGTGAGTAAAAAGTGTAATATTTAGAGCTTTCAAAAATTGATGTAATCAATTAATGTATGAAATAAATACGGCTTGAAAAATCGAAAGGCAAATATCTGGGAATATCTGGAGCGTCCGATTATTAAACAGCGGGTGATCGAGTTATGAGAGCCGCAGTACGAAAAATATTTTCCTTTTTTGTCTTCGTGTAGAAATAAAATCGCAATATCAAGGTTTTTATCCTGGATAATTTTTAATTAACAACTGTGCATCGAAAATATACAGAAAAATTAAACCTGGCTTGTTCAATTATAAAAAAATATAGTTAAAATAGTGAAATTGTTCATTTATGCAGGTGGCTCGAATAATTTGATTACCTACCCACTATATTATGTGCATCAGGCATTTAATACCGTCAGATTTAACCGTGATGTTGGACTTTAGTAGCGCAAGCTAGTTACTCGTCTCCATTCCTCTGTATTTATCATAAAACAACAATTTAACGACCCAACAAACATAACAAATAAACAGACATGTAAAGTGTCAAAGAAAGAAAAAACAAAACTGTCCCGTCGACACTTATCAGTACCATCCATAGTAATAAAACTCATTTCACTTCATCTGGTAAACTACCAATAAACATCACGTAAATCTATTTCCTTTGACGTATTGCATGTGTCGTCTAGATCTCCGCCTTTCTATTAGACCAAGCATGATTTATGACTCTAATAAATCTATTAAATCATGTTACAACAGTGAATACAAAATAAACACCGGTAATCGGTACATAATAAATCGCGATAAGTGGCTCTCGCCTAACCGATCGTCTTCTATATATTTTCATACCGGTATTTGCTATCCTTGATTACCCGTTGACCCGCCCGATGATTATCGTTCGACTGTTGCGTCGATTTATCGGCGCGAGATACGCCGCGATAACGAAGCGTCTAGCGTTGTCTTTATTCGAAATTATGCCGTACTTAAATGCGACCATAGAAGGCGAGGAGTTGGGGGAAAATTACAAGCAACAAGTTTTGTTGTGTAACCCACTTTGCCAACCGATGCTTTGTTGATTAGGACGTAGTCGAAACGCAAGTACGTATACATATACATAGTTGTTAATGAATCGATAAACTGGTAGAGGTTACCGGTCCGGCCGGTTTCCCCCAGTTCCTCCGAGTATCTTCTAATGCTGGTTTCGCGTACCGTAAATCCACGCTCGAACCAGCAGCGGGACCGGTACACTTTACTCGAACACGACAATATCTCGTTCAGCGGCCCGTGTCGCCCATCGGGCGCGAATAAACGAACGATAGAGGATCGTAATTACAAGGTAGACCGTACACCATTTGCTCGGCACGCATCTTCTTAGACAATGAACATGCACACGTAGGCTTTGCACGCTAGAGTAAACACAGGGAAGATCGGTACCGATCAGGTCGGAATTTTAATTTTGTAACATGGCGAGAATTAATCAGGGACAGGGGCAATTGATAGCGAGGATCCCGTGGGGAACGGGAAACGATGATCGGAGAAAAAATAAAATAACTTAATGACCGCACAGATTGGCTAGAAACCTGTTCCACGTAACCATTCATAAAGCCACGACGACTCTCTCGTCCCGTAAAGCATTTATTGGTTACTTAAGACGATTGGGGCCTTTTGTCGGGGTCGTATTCGGCGGCGTAGATCAATCAGCACGATATACACGGGCCAGCTGTGTATGAATTCTCGATTAGCTTTACAACTGTCGCGAGAATCTATAATACGCTTCACTCATCGCGTCGCGAAATCGCTTCGAGCGTGATCAGCGTTGATTGTCCAGAGACATTTGCGGCTGGACGGTGTCCGCCAGGTTTTTTTTTTGACGGATTAAACGCATCGCTTGGCAGAGGTTTCGATTGACAGGGGATCGACTTACAGAGCTCATTCTCTTAAGGGGGAGCCTGGTGTAAACAACTAAAAATGAAGGAATTTTTGGGAATTTATCGTGAAGAAAGTGTTCAATCAGTCTCTTTGGAACTTTCTGAATACTTTATTGTACGATTAAACTGAATACAAAAATTTTTATTTTCACGATAAATCGATAAATATTATGGTTGGGTTATTCCACGACAAGCGGATCACTTTTGTACACGATAACTGGGATTTTAAAGAGAAAAGATCAGAGAATACGGGCATATTTAATAAAATTTTTTAATTTGTCATCTAGGGATCAAATTTACAAAACAAAAACATTTTTAATATATTTTCATTACAAAAGTAACTTCACATACAAAACAAACAATTTATTACAAAGAACGATCTTTTATTATCAAAACGAAACAAGAATAAAGTTCTTATGTTCAACAGTTACTGTGATAAAAATTCTTTTGTGATGCTGGTTTTCGTAAAAATCGAGGAAAATTGTTAACTTTGACGGTCTGTATTGTTTAAACAACTCCTAATCCAACAAAATGATGACTTAAACCTTTTCACATGAAGTATAACATATAACATATTTCAATTTGAGGAAAATTCCTTATCTGCAGCCCGAGAGCAAAAAAGGTGTTTCATGCCGGGGTATGTAATTAAAAGAATATTTAACCAATTGACTCAGCCTTGCATGTACATATTCTTTAACATATTTTTCACAGCATGAACCTATTTTGAAGCTAAAAAATGCAAAGTTAAAAAAATTATGAAATTTTTTAAAAGCCAGGCAACTTTTTTCAAGTAAGAAATCTTAAAAAATATGATTTATGGAGACAGTAAAATTATAAATGTAGGTTCGTGTTGTGAAGAAGATGTGCATGCAATGCTGGGTCAGTTGGTTGAACATTTTTTGAGTTACATTCTCCGGCGCGGAACACCTTTTTCCGTTCAGGGGCTGCACATAAGTCCTTGTAACTATAATATTTATAGATTTTACGTGAAAATAAAATTTCTTGAATTTAGTTTAATTTCACAATAAAGTATTTTTAAAGTTTCAAAGATATTGGTTCAATAATATCTTTACAAGAAATTCTCAAATATTCAATCATTTTTAGTCCGTTTACACCAGGCTCCCCCCTTAACGACCGAATGGACGCGACTTGCGATACGACTGTTTACGAGCGATTTGCTCTTCCGTCCCAATTTCGGGTTACCACCACCTCTGGTTCCTATTGGCCGTCTAACAACAAATAGTTCGACAAGTTTTTTGTTTTCATTGTGCTCTAAGTACCTACTCTTTGAGCAATAAATCTGATAATCCATCCTGGCCTTCTTAGGACGCATGTGTTTTTTTAGTCGCCACGTGGATGAAGTTCTCATGTATTAAGGTTTTTTTTTGGAGGGGGAGCAGGACTTTAATCCTATCGGGGGCAATGTTTTTGTGGGAACTCCGGGGAATCCAACGGACTGTATTCTTTAGAAACACGATCGTCGATCCAGACGAACTGACCGCAACCCGACTTCCTCGAGTTTTTTTCTCGCCTTCTTGCTCGTCGGCTTTCGCTTCGATCCATTAACCGTATGAACGATACAAGATTCCATTTTGATTCCCGATTACGAGGTTCGAAAGTTCAAGAGGCAATTTTTATTGCTTTTTGAATGAGTGGTTTCAATATACAGGGCGTGTTCGGCTACTTGTGTCGGGAACTTCATTGGACAATTCTACGTGTCCAGATGAAACGAAAATCAAGAACGATGAAATTACGTCGAAGACCTTGTTTCCAATTGATTAACAGTTATTAATTCTATTAATAATAAAGTACACGATACAACGATAATCAAGAATGACGAAATTGTGTTGGAGGTTTCGTTTTCAAGTTATTAACAGTTAATAATTCGGGCCAGAAACGCCTGAAACCAGGCAATCTACGTATAAGCCGTAAACGGAGCTAGCTTACGCTCGTGCTTAAATAAGTGATGTATAATACTTCACATCTTCTTGCGACACTTCATAAAAAAGCATACACGAATCGCTGTACGACAAAACACTACAATCACTAAAACAGTTAAAATAACTGGTTCATGAATATTTATACAAACGATTAAAATGTCATAACAATGTATTTTTGGAGATCTTTCGCAACTGTTATTGCAATATCTAAATGACGAAGTTCGTTAATTTATCGATTTACATATTCTCAACAGGCTATCCCTTTCACCAACGTAAGATAAATACAATCATATTCATCTTCAGTAATTCTAGTGTTAAACCTGGTTATTCGTTCAAATCCACAAGGAAGATCACAGCACACACACACAAACAGATAATAAAAACTAAATAAACCAACTTAAACTGAGCTGAAATTCGCCA